CCCTGAATGACGCAAGGAGGAAGCCTGGCTGGGAAGAGCAAAGAGAGAGAGATACGCGAATACAAGGAAGGTTTTGTCATGGGACCTATTTTATAAGGGCTAGAGAGGTTTGGCTATATTGACAAGCTCATGAAGTTTCAACAGCCAGGCCTATTTCAATGGTGTGATCTGATAGGAAGGAAGAAATGGGCAGAGAGCTCTTATGTTAGCCTCTGGAGTCGATGACATTATTGGTGGCCTCTCCACTATTTCCTAAGACGTTCTAGAACCTGTGTTTCCAGTTTGACCAAGACAGCCCATTTGCCAGGTTTGCCCATGGCTGTGTTGGCAAGTGTTGATCTGAGTCATGAGCTCATGGAAAAGTAGACACAGAGACTATAGGAGAAAGAACAAAGGTCAGGACCTTAATAAACCCAGGTACACTTCTCAGTACACCAAGCCAGTTGGACAATAAACAGACATTGGTGTTTTTTTAAACTTTGCAAGGCTCTATAGGAACCAGCCTCCCCACCTTGCCAATCTCCTCCCTTGCTCGCTTATGGGTTGCTGATTTGATTGTACGGTTCTGCCTCACTGGCCTCCTGTCACTTTGTCAAATAATAATAAGCCCTGTTCTGCCCTTGAGCCTGAATTCTAACTTTTCCACCGCCTGTGACCTGCCACTTTCCCCAACTCTTATCCAGCTAACTCCTTCTCATTCTCAGATTTCATTTTAAATGCCACTTCCTCAGCAAGCTGACCACCCAATCCGAATCCGTCCCCTTTGTTCCTCTTCTTCAGTGAGCCCCGGACTCCGCTTCCGTGTTCTCACCACATTTGAAAATGTATTAAAGTGGCGGGGCGCCTGGGTGGCTCAGTCAGTTGGGCGTCTACCTTCGGCTCAGGTCAGGATCCCGGGGTCCTGGGATCAAGTCCCGCCATCGGGCTCCCTGCTCGGCAGGAAGCCTGCTTCTCCCTCTCCCACTCCCCCTGCTTGTGTTCCCTCTTTTGCTGACTCTCTCTCTGTCAAAAAACAAATAAAAGCTTTAAAAAAATAAAATAAAGTAAAATAAAATGTTTTAAAGTGGAAATTTTATTTGGAAAGTCTCCTAGATTCTCTTAAAAACCTTTCGTTTTTGTGTGTTTTTACCTCTAAATCTTTCATTCATCTGGGATTTGTTTTCAGTATATTGTCTAGGGTAAGAGCCCCTTCACAGCCTGCGTTTCTAAAGCCCATGGTCAGACCCTCTTACGGCTCTTCCTTTCACTCATTCATCCGCTAACAATCGCTTCACAGCTGATGACCCCACACTAGGCCCTTTATTGCGTACAAAGAGAATATCCTTATCTCAAAAGATAAAAAGAGAAAATGACAGAATTTCTGGGCGTGAGGCCCAGAGAGGATCTCGGTATACTTGGGGACGCAGATGCACGAATGAAGAAATGACAGTATAATAAGGTAAATGCTTTAATGCCACATAATGATTATAATCATCTGGAATTCTGGCAAAGAATGTGTTTCTCTTCATTTCAGTCTCTTAGTTTGTAGCACTGTGTCTTACCCACTGAAATCACTTAATAAATATTTTAACAATTAACCAGAGTATAAAATCTTTTGTTAAGCTTTCACTTTTCACCAAATTTCCAAGCACATGTTCACTACTTCTTAGACATCTCCACCAGCGTGTCCTACAGGCATTTCCAATACAAGATGTCCTGAACAAAATTCTCTCCTCCAAAACCCAGTCCTCCTTTACTCTTCACTTCCGTTTTCTGGGATAGAAAGCTCAGAATCATTCCCAATGCCACTCTCTCTCCGGCCCCCCATCCACCCCATCACCATGTCCCGTCTATTTAGGCCATAAATACTTTGTTTTAGGCCATAAATGACTCATTTACTTATCCCCACCATCTTGGGTCATGTCTTCGTTACCACTTCCTTGAATTGGTAAAAAAACATGCCAACAGATCTCTCTGCCTTTTCTCTGCCTTTTCTCTCCTTTCTTTACAATCTTCTAATTGCCACCACAGTCTTGGTGTTTTTTTTTTTTTCTAAAGATTTTATTCATTTGAAAGAGAGAGAGAGAGAGCACCAGCAGGGGGAGGGGCAGAGAGAGAGGGACAAGCAGACTCCCCACTGAGCAGGACCCTGGGATCATGACTGGAGCCGAAGGCAGATGTTTAACTGACTGAGCCACCCAGGTGCCCCCACAGTCTTAGTTCCGAAACACAAACCTGACTGGTAGTGTTTCTGAAACACTACCACTCTCTTGCTTAAAATCCTTTTGTGGCTCCCCAATGTTTTTGGGATAAATTTCAAAATTTTTAAGCATGGATCAATAATAACATCTCAATCTGGCTATAGACAAATCTATCCCAAGCAATTAATCTAAAACATGGAAAAAGTTATACACACAGAGCTGTTCATTGGGTACTATATTAGCTTTTCATTGCTGCTCTAACAAATTATCATAAATTTAGTGCCTTAAAACATCACAGAAGAAAGACGAAAAGATCCCTGGACTTTGTATCTTTAGATTTACCATTGTGTGGATGAACAACCTTTCTCCACTTAAGTCATGCTATGTTGAGTTTTCTGTTATTTGTAGTCAAATGCAACTGTAACTAATCAAAGTACTCCTATAATTCAAATAAAGAAGAAAAAGGGATCTGATTCCAAGTTATATTTCTCAAATTCCTCAACATCCATTCCATGAATAGGCCAAGGCCTCTGTTCTAAGCTCTGCTCATATTCTTTTCTTTTCCCTAATGCCTTCTAATCCCTAATGCCCTCTAATCTCTACCCTACTTTTTTTCACCAAATTTCCAAACGAATGTTCACTACTTCTTAGACATGCAAACTCCTGCTCATCCTTCAAAGCCCAGGTCGTTATACCCCCCCAAGCTTTCCCTCAAACAGATTCATCATCATTGTTCCCATGGCATTTTGTCAATCCTTCCACTCACTTTAGACACTATGTTGTATTTGTCTATTTCCTTGACTGTGCCCTCTACTGAACTGTGAGCAACATGTGAACAACTGGAGGGTCAAAAACCATGTTTCATTCCCTCCAAAGCTGACATGGCACTCAGGATATAGTAGGTGCACAACAAATGCTTTTTAAATAAGTAAACATAAGAATAAAAAATGTCTACATGTTTAAACCAAATATCATCCTCTTTCCTAGGTAAACCCCTGTCTTCTCTCCATTTCTGTTCCTTTTGTTTGTTTTGTTTGTTTGCTTTACTGGTAAAAGAGTTGAGTTGGAAGTTAGGGAATAGTTATCAGTACTTGGATCATTGTCATCAAGATGAGAGTGGGAAGAATATGATGACACATTTGATTGAAACTAGGAAAAAAGTGGAGAAGCATAGGAAGTAATTTAAGACAGCAATTCAGAATTCAGAATGAGAATCCCTCAGTCTCTCCTATCTTAGATCATGATCTATTATGCTCAAAAGCAGTGTGACTTTAGCAGATCTGGCCCAAACTCAGAGTCACAGTGATGAGGGTCTGAATCCCAGCTCCACTCACCACCTCATCGAATGTTGAGGAGGTAGGTCACTTCCATCCACCTTCCTCTGTCACAGTTTCCTTCTCTGAGAAAAAGGACTAGAAGTACCTGCCTGGTTGGCTCACAGAATTATTGCGAAGATCAAAAAGGACCAGACTTGTGTACAAAATTTGCTATGACACGCAGTGCAGATGTGAATCATGTAGCTTTACTATATGTAGGACAAACCCAAAAAATGCTTGGTGAATAATTGAATGAACCCAGTTTGCTGATTATCTTGTTTAAGTCAAAGACTAAATGCAGGGGGGCGCCTGGGTGGCTCAGTTGGTTAAGCGACTGCCTTCGGCTCGGGTCGTGATCCCGGAGTCCTGGGATCGAGTCCCACAACTGGGCTCCCTGCTCAGTGGGGAGTCTGCTTCTCCCTCTGACCCTACCCCCTCTTGGGCTCTCTCTCTCTCACTCTCTCTCTCAAATAAATAAATAAAATCTTTAAAAAAAAAGACTAAATGCAGGAACAACTTCATCTTTTGGGTTTATATAAAATATAACCACTACATGTGACATCATCATCATGAAGAAAGTTCTCTTCCCCATTAAGTTGCTGATTCTTAGACTTTGTTTATATGGGACAAAACTTTTTATTCCATCATTTGAGAAATGACTTGAAATGCACTAGTCCTGAGAAAGGTAACATTGCAACTAAAATCACACTAAGGAATCCATGACTATTTTCTTCTTTTAAAAAGCATGTTTTAATAGGGGCTAATGTGGCAGATGGGGGCCGCCGCATCTGGGTGTCTCAGTCGGTTAAGCAACCACTAGGTTTCAGCTCAGGTCATGATCTCAGGGTTGTGAGATGGGGCTTGTGCTCAGCAGGGAATCTGCTTGAGAGTCTTTCCCTCTGCCCCTCCCCCCACATGCTTCTGCGTGCTCTCTCTCTCTCAAATGAATAAAATCTTTTTAAAAATATGGGCGAAGGGGCAAATGAAATTTGTTTTGTTTTGCTCTAAATTTTAAACAGTAATGTAAGGTACTGTGTTATCTGCCATGTTAATTGTGTGATCTAAAGGCCAGCCACCTACCACTCTGGTAGGCTATCAAAGGGATCCTTTTTTATTTCCTTCATCTTCCTACCCTTGAAATTTTGGACCTCTTGCTTAACAATTTTTTTTTTCTGCTAAACTTAACAGGTAGCTATAATATTGATTTGAAATTAAAAATAAAAAGTGAGCCCAACAGGGACGCCTGGGTGGCTCAGTCATTGGGTGGCCAACACTTGACCTCAGCTCCAGTCTTGATCTTGGGATCGTGAGTTCAGGCCAATGGTGGGCTCCATGCTGGGTGTGGAGCCTACTTTAAAAATAAAAAAAAAGAAAGTAAACACACCATAACCCCTAAATCTTAGATATATATTTATTTATATATATAAATTATATGTATGTGTTTGCGTGTGTGTGTGTATCTGTGTGTGTGTCTGTGTCTGTGTAAATCTGACTTGGAAAAATATTAGAGTAGATCACAGGGAATTTTATTGATTTGTCTCCACACACCAAATGCCCACTAATCTGCTCCTACAATGATCAAAACAGTCATCACGAACACCATAATGAAAAAAACCCACATAAAGAATCGGTCTATGACCTTTGCAACCTTCTTCCACTCGCTCCCCTTGGAATTGGTGGCCTTGTGGTGTTTGAGGCACTTGGCAATGTACTCAATATTCCTCATCAGCCCCTTGTACTGTGCACAATAACTGTCAGCATCCTGTGGGTTCTCACCATGCCACCCCAAGTCATTCTTTACCAGTTTGTTTATTTCCTTCTTTCTGGGAAGTCCTTTGTTTCTGTCTGTTTGCAGATTTGGCTCTGGAAGTTTGCCATAAGCCTTTGTGAGGTGGGTTTGCTCCCTGTCGTGGCGGGGGCTAAGACAGCTCTCACCCACATCATAGACACACAAGACCCTGGACATATATTTCAGGATGACGACCCTGGCCCAGTGTGGCACCGGCCGGGCCTCAGCCCCACAGAAGTGGATGTTCATCACCATAATGGTCAAGGCGGTGGAGGCTGTGATCAAGGCCATTGTGGCTATGTAGTATTTGCCTGGAAAATAACCACAACCAAATTAGCTTAAAACTGGCCTCATGTTCCACTCAAAAATATACAAACACCTTTTCTAAGGAAGCTGTATACACTAATGGTTCCCAGTATAAGCTTCTGAATCACACTTCCTAGATTCAAATCCCAGGTCTGTCACTCACTAGACTGGGGCAAGTTAGATCTTCCTGCTGAGCCTCAGCTTCCTTCTCTGTAAAATGAGTATAATAATTGGATCTAATTCATGGAATAGGGCGAGGCTTAGTTGAGATGGTACATGTAAAGTTCTCAGCACTGTCCCTTCACTGAGTGAAAGGTTTCTAAAGGTTTGCTGAGATCATGATGTGAAAAAATTCCACTTTCAATAAACAACAATCTTGGGCAACTCTCAGAATTGTCTTCAGATCTCATTACTGTTGGGTAAGGAAGAAGCCACTGTGTCACTATTAGTCTTTAACGTGTGACTGCATAAAGCAATATTCATGAAAAAGGAAAATTAAGGAAAGAAATAATAAAGGTAAGGGCACAGATTTCTAAAATATAGAACAAAAAACCAAAAAGATGAACAAAAGCAAAAGCTATTTGAAAAAAAGGAATAAGATTGATAAACCTTTGATAAAGCCACTCACAGAATAGAGGCAAGGTGGGGGGGGGTGGTAGAGAGGGAGGGAGAATGTAAAAGAAGAAATAACAAAATAGAAATTAAGAATGCAATAAAATAATATTTAGCTGTATGATAACATATTTGAAAATCTAGATGAAATTTCTAGAAATACATAAGACGTCAAATTTAATGTAAGAAGAAAGAACATTGGAGTAGAAAAGCTCCAGAGTTGGTTTTATAGGTGAGTTTTACCACACTTTTAAAAGACGGATAACTCATATCATGCAAGTCAAGTTGTTCTACACTCTTTGAGTGTAGAAACCTGCATTTTAATAAGCCCTCCCACATCTACTATATCCAATAAAGGTTAAGGATTATTCTATTAAGGGTAGATGATGGGCTGAAAAATCCAGTCAACCATTTCTATCCTGTTTGCCGCTCTTTCCCAAGAAGAGATACCGTGTGCTGTGAAAAGACAATAATAGTCACTACTTAGGGTGCACTTACCATACACCAGCTTCTACACTAAGCAACCACACAATGAGTAGCAATTACACACCCTTTCCAGGCAATGAAGCAGAAACAAAGACTAAGTAACTTGCCTAAGATCGATCGTTAAGAAATGAGTGGTGAAATCTAAGTTCAAATGCAGATTTAACTTCAAAATCAGGGCCTTAACTTCTAAGCCAGTGGACAGAAAGTGCATCAAAATCACCCAGAAGTCTTGTTAAAACAGATTGGCCGGGCCTCGCCCCAAAGTTTCTAATTCAGTAGGTCTGGGGTAGGCTCTGAGAATCTGCCTTTCCAAAACGATGTTGCACTGGGGGTCCAGGGATCACTTTGAGAACCACCGCTCTAAACTATATTGCCTCTCCTTTCCCCTTTCACGTAAACCCAGACACCGTAAGACCGGTTCTGGAGAACAGATATCTCTGTATTCAAAGATGCCAACTGAAGACACTAAATGAAGCATGTGACAGCTTGTGTTGAGTCTGAAATTGACCTGATGGTTCTGACTTTAAAGGAACAGATACAATCCCACTCACTACAAAGCTAGGCTCAAAGTGTAAGGCCTGTGAGCTCACCTATCAGTGGGACATTTTCTGAGGCCGGCATGATCTCTGCCACCATAAGCTGAAATACAGTCATGGCCAACAGGATGGTCACTCCCAAGGAGACCTTTTCCCCAGATGCTGCTGGGAGATAAAAACTCAAGGGGGCCAGAAAAGAGATGAGGACACATGGGATGAGGAGGTTGACGATATAGAAGGAGGACCTCCTCTTCAGAAGGAGAGTGAATGTCACATCAGGGTAAGGCTCAGAACAGCAGCCATAGGAGATAACATTCTTCACAGCGGGCATGCCATGGACCTCCCACTCCACATCTTCGATGAAGTCGGAGAGGTCGCCACTGTCTAGGGCATTGACTATGTCCACCTGGTTGCCATTGTAGGTCCAGGAACCAAAGGTCAGGTTGCACTGCTGGTTATCAAAAGGGAAATATGTGACATCCACCACACAGGAGCTTTTGGTGATGGCTGGTGCATCCCAGGTGATCAGCCCATCATAGCGCAAGACCACATTGGTGTTCACAGGCTCAGAAGATTCATCATCAGCCCTGGAGGTCAGAGGAGGAGAATGAAAGCCACTTGTCAAGACAACTCATCAACTTCCTTACTCTGGATAGCTCACTGACCTGTGCACATCCTTTTGGTGTCTCTGGCAATGGATCACCATTCTCCCTGTCACCCCAGCTGAAAGTCAGAATCAACTCCAATTTGCCCCTCTCCTCCATCTCCTGTAACTACTCAGGGCCAACGTCTCTTGGATGCTTCCTTTAAAGCATCTCTGCTCTATGCCCCTTCCTCTTCATTTCCAAAGCCACTCTCTTAGTCCAGGTATAATGATTCAAACATCTAGATAAAAAGTAAATATGTGGAGGCTAAAATCTAATAGGGAGGCTCTACTTACCTGATTTGTTAACTTTGGGCACAAGAATATTAAAATAGCCTTTTGTTGCTGTTGGAAGAGTTGTACATGTTTATTTGAAAAACGCAGACAAAAGTTCATTTACCCAAGGGCGCCTGGGTGGCTCAGTCGGTTAAGCATCCAACTCTTGGTTTCAGCTCAGGTCATGATCTCGAGGTCTTGGGATCCAGCCCTGCAGCGGGCTCTGCTCTCAGTGTGGAGTCTGCTTCAGATTCTCTTTCCCTCTCCCTCCCACTCACTCCCTCTCTCTCAAATAAATAAAATCTTAAAAAAAAATTCAATCACCCATAATTAAGAGATAATTTATTCTAGATATATTTTCTTTTTGCTTTATCAACATTTATGCCTGGGTACAGAATTTCTATTTTCCTTTAGAGAATGACTTTCTCCACCACCATTGCAAGGCAGATGAAATGTTGATCAAGGTGCTCCAGCCTCCCCTGGCCAGGGGCTGGCCATGTGACCTGTGCTAGATCCAACTGATTCACTCTCCCTGGAGTTTAGATCTTAAGCAGAGTGACCCAAAGACCAAAAACAGTCACTCTGGTGATGCCTCCTTATAAAACAAATAAATAAACCAGCTCAGTAATCCCTGCTGTCTCAAACTCTAGAGCAGTCCCAGTCTATCCACTCTGTCCTTTCTAAGAACTGGTCATTGGTTTTTTTTTTTTCCCTTTAATTCAGTGAGCTGTACCATACCCTTTCAACAAATTCCTTTTTTCAGAAGGTAGCCAAAGTCAGTTTCCAATGCTTACAACCCTAACTGATAAGTTCTTATTAACATTTAATGCATTTTCCCCGTCTTCCTTATCATTTTTTCCCTATAAAATGTATTATGGCTAAATGTAATGTGTAAGGTATTCTGGATTGGATTCTGGAACAGAAAATGTACATTAGTGGAAAAACTGATGAAATCCAAATAAAGTCTATAGTTTAATTAATAATATTGTATTCATTTTGACAAATGTACTATGTTATTTTGATGTAACACTAGATGTAACATTAGGGGAGGCTAGGTGAAGGGTATATGGGAACTCTCTGTACCATCTTTGCAACTTTTCTGGAAATCTAAAATTATCCCGAAATAAAAAAGTTAATCTACCCCCAAAAAAAGATGATACAAAATTTAAAATGTGGTTATTCATTCATATTCTCCTGCAACATTATTTTCATGGCCAATAGTTTCCTTTATATTCTATTATATAGATATGCCATACTTATTTAACCAATCCATCAATGTTCAACATTGTCGTTTCCAGGTTTTGCATTTACAAGCAATGCTATAGTCGAATCTTTGCATTTATCCACTGACTCTTTCCTTAGATTAAATTGCCAGGAGAAGATGTGCTGGATCAAAGAACTGTCATGTTTTTAAATTATTTTTTCTCACTTATTAAAAATTGGGCACCACAACATTAACTGTAATGGTCTGATTGAAGTGGACCAAATCAGACCATTACAGTTAACGTGGGTGCTCAATTTTTAATGAGGGTCTTTAATGAGGGTTTAAAGAGAAGTATCTTTAATGAGGGTCTTTGTGACAAAGATGAAGTAACAAGATGAAGTTTTTTGAAAATCCCTGAACCTAACCTCTGTAACGATGAGAAATGTATATAGTTAGCTGAATGAAAAGTGAGCACTATGATGAACTGAGAATATCACTCACCCATCCTACCTTCTTTGGTGTAAGAGGAGAGATCTCAGGATCAGAGAGAATCTATTTGGACAATTCCATATCAAAAAGAAGTCCCCCTCTTTCTTTCGAAGGTTAATTTCCCTCTTGGTACTATGATTCCTTTCCTCCCATGTCTCCTTCAGGATTTTGCATCTCTTGGTTTCTCTTACTCTCTCTGGCTCACTGAGACCCTTCCCAATGCTGTTCCCCAGTCTCTCCTACCAACTTCCCTTCCTCTAAGGCATTTCCCACATCCCACCTCTCTTTCTACATACTGGAAATGATACACGCTGCTGTCAATTCCCCATTTTGTTTTTATTCTTGCAATTTGGCTTCTTCCCAACATGTGTTCTCTCAAAGGTCATTCATAACTTGCAAACACACAAATCTAAAAACCTGTTCTAGGTCCCTATCCTATTCAACTCTTCCCAAGCATTTCACAGTATAGGTTGTTCCTCGACATCCTTTCTTCCCGTGGTTTCTATGACACAACTCTCTCTCTCATTTCTCCTTCTACCCCTTTAACCATTTCTTTCAAGTGTCTTTTGTGAATGTCTGCCGTGAAGAGTTCCACCAACTTTATCTGTAGCCATTTTCTCTCCTTCCTTGAGTAGTTCTATAAGGGCTCACAGGGCTTTTGATATCTCTTCCCCAACCTTCTTTCCAGGTTTGAGGATTGCCTTTTCAGTCCCTTCATTGGTTGTCTCCACGTGAATGTTCCTTTGGTCCCCCAAACTGAACAGGTCCCACACCAAACTCATCATCGTTTTCCTCAAACCTGTTCCTCTTTCCCTCCTTTACATACAATCTCATCTAACAGGTTTGCCATTTTCTCAACCACTAGATGACTTAAACAAACCCTAGTGCTAAAATCTAGACAAATCTTTCTGAATATGATAGAGTACCCAATTCCTCACTAGCTCTAAAATCCAAGTGTTAAGATGGCCCATGAAAACCCAACCATTAGAACTCTCTCATAATAAATGCACATTCGGAATTTCTATAACCTAGTCTCTACCCGATCTAATGTCAGGAATCCTTGCAGCCTCTTGCATTAACCATTATATTGGCCATATACTTAGACTAAACAACCTCACCAGAACTTCGAGCCCCTGTTTATTTATTCCTTTACTGATTTGGTAACAGAGGCAGTATCTGCTTGAATAACTATATTGCTAAAGAGCTCACTACTTCTTGAGAATATTGATTTCTCAAGTTATTCATTATGATTATTTTTTTAATTGTTTATCTTCCCTTTAACTTTTCATTGTCTTGGTTTTTGTCCTCTAGAGCAAATTTCTCTCTTTTCTCTCCCTTATTTTCTCCTTGATTGCCTAACATCACCATCAAGTCTTCCCAAGAACTGCTAGCTTCCAAACCAAGCATCAACAAATTCAACTGCTCCTCACATGAAGTAGCTCCCAGACCCATCACCATCCTGATCACACCCTAGCAAGTCCAGCCCATGGATTCAGGTTCCAGTGGTGAATCTAGATGTGAAGCATCTTCCCATCCAAACTATCTATCACACCTGACTGGATCACTACCACATAGCCCTCTTTCCTCTCCCCACCGCCACTCAGAAAGCCCATTTTGTGGTCTACAAGGTTCAGTGCCACCTTCTGAGAAATAATGAGAATATTATATCTGGGATCAGAAGAGTCTACAGTTCCAGGGATTCAGCTAGACGGATCAGGGTCAGGGAAATGGTTATGACCGAGGTCCCTTCTTTGCCTGATCCTGTAACTCTCTTCTAGTCTCATTTTAGCTGGTTATAGGAATGCAAATGATATCCAACCATAGCCACATTTAGAGTTTCCTCTAAGTAATAAAACTCTGACATTACTGAGAAAGAGAATGCAAAGCAGAATAAAGGATCCGAAACAGAACTATCTGAGACAGGAGGGAAGAGAAGACTAAAGAGTCAACCCAGAGGAACAGAAGAGTTGATTACTCAGTGTGATGAAAAGATTCTGTGTGTAAAAGGGACAGGGAAGAGAGCTCACACATCTCAAGGCCAATGATCTGGGGGGGGAAAGGGACAGAATTTACCAAAGCCACAGTAGGTCTGTGTGAGCTCATGAGCACACAACTGGTTTCTGGAATAAGCGGGGACTGGGGCAGGCTTAACTTAGATGACCATGCAAGCTTGCAAAGAAGCATGTCAGTAAGAGTTAGTCATTGCTTCAGCCAACCAAAGCAGGAGGAAGAGGAGAACCAGCATTCTGTTTGTTTCCCAGGAAGAACTGTTAGAACTGATAGAATGCTGTTAGTGATCTATATCAACTATATTCTCTGATTATCTGCACCCTGTGAGTGAGAGGAGCTAATGGACAACATGGCTCATTCTCTTGCCTTCTCTCTCTGTGTGTGTGTGTGTGTGTGTGTGTGTGTGTGTGAAAGAGAGAGAGAGAGAGAGAGAGAGAGAGAGAAGGGGGGAGTAAACTGGAATAATAAAGCAGTAGCCATGGGATGTTGTCTTGCTTGGAAAGGAATATGGAAGGGCCCTCTCGCCACACAGAGTGGAAAATGGTCAGCAGGATGAGTGCTATGATTCAATAGGTCATGACCCTTCATGAGCTCTCTGAGTAAGGAATAAGGCTAAAATCCAGGCTGCAACCCACCAGTGTTTCTTCCTGAAAAGAAACTCATGCCCACTAGAAGGCTGAGCTCTCAGGAGAGCCCCCCTGAACTGCCCCTCATTCACCCCGTTCTGAGTCAAAGAGGAACCATTCCCAACCCACGGGACCTTGGGTTCCAGAATAAAAAGAGAGAAGCTCCTTTGACAACAGGTGGAGCAACGGAACCTGAATTGTGATAGAGCAATATGGTTCCTCCTCTAAGTGTGGTCCAAGAACCAGCAGCACAGACCTCTGGAGCTTGTGGACATGAAGAACATCAAACTCTACCCCAGACCTACTGAATCAGAATCTGTATTTTAACAAAGCTCTTCATGTGCACTTTACAGTTTGAGAAACATAAACCTTCTACCCTTTACTCAAGGCCCCTTGCTCTGAAACCAAGAAAGGGCAACTGAAGATTTTATGATCTAGTTCATCCTCCACTCCAATGTCCAAAATCCACAGGCCAGCCGCTAGCTGGCCCATTCTGATTTAATCTTAGTAGTATCATTGTTATTGATACATGATCTTGGAGAAGGGACCACCACTATTATGAGTTGAATTGTGCCCTCCCCCAATTTATACGTTGAAATCCTAGCCCCTGGAACCTCAGAATGTAATCTTATTTGGAATAGGGTCATTGTGGATGTAATTAATTAAGACAAGGTCATACCGGAGTAGGGTGAGCCCCTAATACAACATGAGTTTTATTTTTATAAAAGGGAAAAATGGACACAGACAACACACAGGAAGAACACCAGGTGAAGAGGAAAGCAGAGATCACGGTGATGCTTCTACAAGTGCAGGGACAACAAAGGCTGCCAGCGACCACCAGAAGCTAGAGGAGAGGCATGGAACACATTCTCCCTTACAGCCTCAGAAGGAACCAACCTTGGATATCTAGCCTCCAGAACTGGGAGAGAATACATTTCTGCTGTTTGAGCACCCCAGTTTGTAGTACTTCGTTACCGTTGCCCTAGGAAACTAGTACAGCCCAAAATGCAGGTTCTCATCCAAAAGGGGACTATAGCTCTAAGTTTTTATGACCTATTATTTTATTATCTAAGATTTTATCATTATCATCCCAGGGCCTAGGCACTGGGATGAATTGCTACTTAACTTCAAGCATCTTTTAAACATTCTTTTTTCATTATGTTTCAATTCTTTGTAAATCAATAAGCTCATTTCGTGAGAAAGGACTGACTCATACTTACTTATTATATAGGACAATATCAGGCCTCCACACCAGGTCACTGGGGATCCTGATGGAGTCCAGTCCATCATACTGGTCTCGATCCCACGTGAGATACGCATCATGCCAGATTTGGCGGATCCATAAATAGGCAGTCAGAATCTGGTTTCTTTCGTCCTGTACAAGTAACCATGATATAACTGTCCAGTAGACACTTCAACCAAATGCCTTCCATCTTTAGAGCACTTGTTCTTTACAACAGAAATTCCAAGAGCACAAATCTACTTTCATTAAATCAATGAGAGCGTTTCTAGTCTATCCCTTTGACTGACTGTCAAAGCCATTTTTTTTCTGCTTGATTTAGTGTTCTGAATGTAAAGTGGACAGGTGTTTAAGCCATCAGATCTTTGCATCGATCAACAGCCCAAATTTCTCTGAAAGTTGATCCACTGATGATTCACTTGAATAAGAAAGTCAGGAAATATCTACAATGTACAGAAGAAAGTCAAGTTTCACAACTTCGTGACCTAAATGCATATAAGCACTAAATAAGATATGCCATCTTAAAACACCACCTTTCTTTTTTTAAAAAACAGGAATAAAATTCATATAACACAAAACTCAACATTTAGCCATTTTAAAGTGTATGGTTCAGTGGCTTATAGTATAGTCATGATATTGTGCAACCATCACCACTATCCAATTCCAGAACAGTTTTGTCCACCCAAAAAAGAAACCTTATGACCATCAATTCATCACCCACTATTCCCCCATTCTTCCCACAGCCCCTGGCAACCACTACTCTGCTTTCTGTCTCCAGGGTTCTGCCTATTTTGGACATTTCATAGAAAGGGAATCATGTGATATATGACACCATCCCTGTTTGGATGATCAAGGCTGTTACTGTTAATGGCCAGGATTAGGTTAACATCTAGCGAAATTACTTTTGTAGAGAGTTTCCTTCCTTGGTATTTCCTTCCCCCACCAGCTTGTACATGTTGCTGTCTATTCTCATTTTCTCTCAAATTCCAGGTAAGACACCTCTTTGGAAAACACGGTTAGTTTCAACCTAAGCACCATTTCAGAGTCACCACTTTATGTTACTCACCATGTCCTTAATCTGAGAAAGTGTAATTTGCAGGGTGACATTCAGGACTTTATCTGTATCTTCCACTGGACGAAGAGCATTGTAATAATCTTCAAAAAGGTCATTAAACAACTTCTGAGCATATTTTCCATCTGCTGCTTCTACAGCTGCTCAAAAAGAGGGACCTGGATCAACATGCAATGTCATGTATATTTCAAGGCAAAGAACAGCAAACTGAGGACTAGAACTGGGCACCACCCAGCATCAGCTAGGGGCAAGCTTTGGGTATATGAGAGTTTTTTTTCTGGCTCATCAATAAGAGGCACGAACATTTCCTCGCAGTGAGAGCATTTATTCTGTTTGCTGGCCCACTGCCACGAAAGAAGTGGCCCCAAATGAGCTGAGATGGTTACACACCCATCAGCCTCTTACCTCTCAGTCTGGAGACAGCCAAGTAAATCCAGCAAAAGGAGATGCAGGAATAGGGCCAGTTCATCTTTTTCCTGAGCTTCTACAAATTCTCAGGAAGGCAGCGGTCTTCCCCTTCTCTCTGTGAATGGGAAGAGTCTGGGTCCAAAGATCCCACTCTGCCAAAGCAGATGGAGAGCTCAGGCTTGCAGTGTACCTAGGGCCCAGAGATCCAGAGATTCAGACCTGCCCTCCCTCCCCTCTGGTAATCTGAGCCAGACAGCTTTGGCTGCAGAGATGCAGGAGCCTGGGTGGGCTAAGTCAGGCAATGCTGATCTGGGGAAGCTGTCCCAGCCGAGGGTCCCTAGCCACCTTCAGCAGGAACATCCAGACCAAACTTTCAGAGGAAGTCAGGTAGGAGCCCAACACCCCCCTCCCCCCGAGACTGCAGAAAGAAATAGGCGCTTTCTACACCTGCAGCAAGCAGATCGAGCCTGAGTCGAAGGACTAAGGGAAGCCCAGCAGACTCTGCCACGGGGCATCCTCTGGAAAGGCTCTATGAATGCGCTTCAAGTGGCATTTGAAGAGGGAAAGAGAAGCAATTCCATGATCTCCAGAACAGATTACCTTCTGCTTCAACTCCTTCAAGATCGGGCACAGATCTCCTGTGGTAATGTGTGTGAGTGTGGGGGGAGGCAATGGGAGAAGAACATTCACTCCCTTCAGAAGCAGCCATACTGCGATTAGGATTTGGAGTCCCAAGATCTAGGTTTAACTGCAAGCCTGAACACTTCCTAGCCCTATAGTACTGAGCCTTCCTGAGCTGGAGACCAGGAACATGGTATTCTCTCTCTCCCAGAGCTACTGGGATATTTCATGCAAAAGCACCATGTAGGGGCGCCTGGGTGGCTCAGTCGGTTAAGCGTCTGCCTTCGGCTCGGGTCATGATCCCAGGGTCCTGGGATTGAGCCCCGCATCAGGCTCCCTGCTCCGTGGGAAGCCTGCTTATCCCTCTGCCTCTGCCTCTCTCTTTCTCTGTCTCTCATGAATAAATAAATAAAATCTTAAAAAAAAAACCACCATGTAAATGTTAGTAAATTTTGCCTCTGATTTTGCAAACCCAGACTATCTATAATCACCAAGGCACCCAGGGTTTACTAGCTCTAAAAAAGGGAAAAAAATGGTTCAAAAGCTAACCAAATCAGCACAAAGATGATTCATAACTAATGGTGATATTAATAAGGATGCTGTTTCTTTGTATTTGAATGCCACTTTATTTAATTTCACAGTCATTTCTCACATGTGATCTAATTTTGCTCCCACAAAAGAATGTCAATTTCCAATTGCCATAACTTATCCCTCTTCTTGCCTGGGGAAACTGCCTTGGAAAACCAAATTAAGATCATTTGCTTGCCTGGAATCAGAGCAAGGAAATTGGATAGTTGTATTTCATCAGGTTACAGCCATCTGATGAGTCACCCTGTCCCTCTTCAGGAATCTATCCTCCAAATGGAACAGACACTCAAGCCATCAGCTAAGTGTGTTTCCTAATTGCCTATGCCCTGGTGTTGATTGGGAAGACATTATTTTCCCGATGCCCCCAGTCTGACTCACCCGTCAAATGACACAGTTCCTGCTACAAACCCTCGGGCCCTCTTTCAGCAAACCATCTGCTCTGGTGTCTCAGAGGTTGCAGGTCCTTCTGAAATTGAGTTGAATACCTCATTTTCACATGAGGAAACTGAGATCTAGAGATGTGAGTGGCTTGCCTCTAGCAGTGCGGGGCCAGAGAGAGAATCCAGGCCACCTGCCCCAACCCAGTGTGCTCCCCACACTAACACTGTCCCTCTTCCTTGTCATTCAGCCACGTGGCATTTGACGGCCACTGGGTGATGCCTTCTCATGGTTAGAGACTCTCTACCTATGTCTCTTTGATTCCTCATGACACTCGGAGCAGACCCTGGTGATAGGTGGTCTGAACACTTGGTGCTGGCTACTTCAGCCGCTGCTTGGAAGGTGATCATCCCTGGTGATCTTTGATTGTTTTTGACTAACTCAGTTCATTCATTTGGGTCACTTATAATTTTTTTTTTAAATAGTTAACAGTTGATGCTAACCTACCAATGTTAACAATCCAAGTGAAATCAGTACTTTCGAGGGGGCAATTCTACCTTTAGGGCAAAGATGCTAATGACTAAAAGCAAACTCCACCCCAATTCATTCTAAAAGAACAACGCATGAACAAAATGAGAATTTCAACAGAGATGGAAAATATGTTTAAAAATTCATTCTAAAAACAACCACTAGGTGTTCTCCTAGGGACCTGCTTATTTTTATACCAAATTACTCAGCTCCCAACTCTATAAAGAAGAGACGAGTAATACAATGGTCCCAGAATTTACAGGGCACTAAGTAGAAGAAGAAATCTGTTGAATTCACTATTTAAGGTTAATGTTAAATAAGGCTGAGAAGCAGGCAGATATGCTTTGGACCGATTTTCTAAAATGTGGGCTCAGACAATGAAAATAATCTGAATAAAACTTAGCCAACCAGAAATGTGAACCCCTTGAATACACCATTTTCAGAGTGCCTCATTAACTTAGGACCCAACATATCTGTTGGTGTATTAATTCAGGTTAACAGAACACTCAAATATTTAAGTTTGGAAGCTCATGATTTTCATACCAACAGCTACCTTTCCCCAGCTCATGCCTACTAATTCTGAACAGCATCTCACCATAGTTGGTGCAAAACCATCACCCAGTGGAGTATACTCTTGGCCAGGAAAAGGGGACCCACAATTCAAAGTATTTCTAGAGAGCACAAAAATCTTTTCAACATCTGCTCCTTTTGAGAAGTGGCAGTTGCTTGTCACAAGTTCACAGACAAAGTATTCCAGCCATTTCAGAGTTTCTGGGAGCCCAATCTCCCTTGATGGACCAATTATGAGGCACTTATTTATAGCCAAAATATGATAGTAAGATATTAAAGACATTCCATAAGATCAAAATATTCTTAACATAACTTATTACATAAGTGATACATACCTATTGCAGAAAAATTAGAAAGTATAGAAAAGCACAATGAAGGAAAAGAAAGGTCACCCAGAAGAATCCAACCAGGCAGAGACCAATAGGGTTCACGTGGCAGCCATCTTTTTAAATGCCATAGAACATGTTGTCATGTCTTCGAGACCTGGAAGGACACGGGCCATTAGCAGAACTCTGTCTTGCTCATGAACACATTTCTATGCGCAGAGGATGCTTCTAAATACTCTTTTCCTGTTCTCATGGGGTTGCGATGTAGTCCACACACAGTCTACCTTGAATGGTCTCGTATCCTTTCCTGTTTCTCTCTCCACCCTCAGGGTCCCTACTCAACTCTTTTCAGTTAAAGCTGCTGAGAACCCTTTGCCCATCCTCCTGGGGGTATCCCTGGCTCCAGAAGAATGATGACAGTGTTTCCACCCCTTGGAATAGAGCTCCCGCCTGACAGAGAATCCTAGTAAATTCTTTTGCTAAAAGACCTCCCCAGTAGCAGAAGAAGGAAGAGGGAGGACAAATACCTTCCTTCTGCTACATTTTTTTAAATTGCATGTCATATAAAGGGTTTCTCCCCCATAAATTAATATGACATTAATATTTTCTCCATTTCATTAAATATGAAATCAGAATCGTTTTAACCCACAAAGAGCTCCTACAGACCATCTAGCTGAGCTCCCTCATTTTACAGATGAAAAAGCTGAGGCCTAAGGAGGGGGTAGACAGGAAAGGATGCCAAATCTCCACCGAGAGCCATGCCAGTGGTCTTTAGCCTCCCTCCCCTAGGGGCCTGAGCTCTCAGCTGTCTTGGGTGCTCAGGGCTGTGACACCTGCTAACCAGTCCTTCTCAAGTCACTAAATTCTCAGGAGATGCCCCATGGGCCCCCACACCTGAGCTCCTATTTCACTGCTACTTTCTACATTTGCTGGATTCATCCTGGGCACGAGGCTCAAAATTAAAAACTCAAAGTTCCTTTAAAGGAGTGGTCTACAAATTCTTTCACCGTGCACCAAGGTTTGGAATAAGGGCCACCAGCTGGGATGCCAAGCCTTCCCCAAAGGGCTACCCACTAAGGTAGTGCTTTCCAAACGTTGTGGGGTTTGTTTCTGTCTATGTTTTCTAATTAAGAAACGATTTCATGTAGCGTTTAAGACAATTCACTCTGGAGTCGAACTGCTTGGATTCAAGTCCTGCCCACCACCTACTAGCTGTGCGACTTTGGGCAGATTACTTAGCCTCTCTGTGCCTTAGTTTCCTCTTCTATAAAATGGGGATGTTTTTATAGTGCCTGCCCCCTAAGAACAGTGTTTGGCCATAAAAAGTGCTAAATACATGATAATGAAAGGGGGGAAATGCACTCTAGCATTTTTTTTTAAATTAGACATGTAACCTGTAGCCACAATTCCTCTCTCTCTCCTCTCTCTCTCTCTCTCTCTCTCTCTTATCTATCTTTCTTTCCATCCATTTTCTTGTCTGCCCACCCCCAACTTCTTGACAGACCTAATTAGAGGATTCTTACTGTGCTGTATAGGCAGGAGAAAAACAGCCCTGCCTTTTTCTTGTTGTCCTTTTGTATAGCAATGTTAATATTATTGACAATCCATGGTGGAGTTATTTGTTTACTTTCTTACTTATTTTTTGTAGTAGTCTTTTTAGTCCTCATATCCACTTTGTGAAAGTTAGCTGACCTAAATCTATCACAGAGGCTGGCAAACTCTTTTGGTAAAGAGCCAGATAGTAAATATTTTCAGCTTTGCAGGCCAGATGGTCTCTGCAGCAACCACTCTTCTTTGCAGTTGGGCTGTGAAAGCAGCCATAGGCAAGGTGTAAAAGAATGAGCATGGCTGTGTTCCAATAAAACTTTATTTACAAAAATAGATGGCTGGCCATCATTTGCTGACCTTGGATACATATCACCAAATCCTTAAATCCACTTACCCAGGCTCAAGCAAACCGCGATAGGGGCCAGCAGCCCAGATGAAGAAGGAGCACAGCTTGAAAGGAGAATGGTGTCATGATGCACAAGCTCACTGTAGGCAGATGTGTGGCGAGGCCGGGGCTGACGCTAAATGCCGCGCATCCAAAGACATGCAAATCGTCTTCCAGGGCAGGCTCCCAAGGGCCCCCCTACAAATTCCTAGAGAGGGGGAGCTCTCACATAAAATGAGCCTTTCCACTGAAGAGGCAGAAACACTTGAGAACTAGAGAGCGCACAGCAGTCCTGGTTGATGTCTGGAGGCTGGGGAGGCTTCCTCATGGTGTCCATCAGAGTCTCACGGGCAGGAAATCAGAATCCCCAAATATGGGTGACATACCATGATAATGGAAACTGTGGCTACAGCCAGGCGGGGGCTGAGACCAGGGGAATGTTTCAGAACTACACGTGAGTCCCTCTCAGATACCCATGAACGAGATAGGCGGAGTCTGAAGCCAGGGCTGTAGCGATGTCACGGAGTCCCAGAGCACTGTTCTGTTTCTAGGATGGTGACCCCTATCCCTCAGTGACCATGCCCAACTCCATTTGGCTTGGGGAAATGCAGGTGAACTCACAACAAAAGGGATTCAGGGAAGGAAGGAAGGAGGACCTCCTAGAACACAGGAACAGTGAGCTCTGTATCTCAGCGGGGTGCTAGCATCAAAACATGTTCACGCTCTTGTGGGGGGTCCTTCCCCCCTTTGTAAAGGCACACATCTGTGTCTCCCTCCTGCCCCGTGGCCTTCTGGCACTGCTAGAGATGTGTAGTAGACTGGAAAGTCCTCATAGCAAAAGCCAGTAGGACAACCTCTCTTGGTGCTTCTGAGCATTGTAAAGAAAATGGCCAAAATAATACATTATATGTTAATAAAAAAGAAAGAAAGAAAGAAAATGGCCAGCTCCCAAACTCTTGTAACCATGACATGAAACAGACCCCACTCCTGGGCATCATCAGTGACTCCTCTCTCTCTCCCACATGTTAGGAGCTAGGGCTACCATAACAAAATACCTCAGACTAGGTGGCCGAAACAACAGAAATTTATTTTCTCACAGTTCTAGAGGCTGGAAGTCCAAGATCAGGGTTCCGACAGGGTTGGTTTCTTCTGAAGCCTCTCTCCTTGGCTTCTAGAGGGCCGCCTCCGCTCTGTGTCCTCACACAGTCTCTTCTTTGAGTGTATCTGTGTCCTAATCTCCACTTCTTCTAAAGACACCAGTCATACTGGATTAAGAGCCACCCCAATGACCTCACTTCACACTTCACATTAATCACCTCTTTCAAGATCCTATCTCCAAATTCTGAAGTACCAGGGGTTAGGACTTCAACATACAAACGTGGGGGAGACACAAGTCAGACCCTAGCACCCCACATCCAATCTGTCAACAAATCCTGGCTGCTCCACCTTCGCATTTCTGGAAGCCAGCCATCTCTCTTCCCCTCACCACTGGGGTCCTGGGTCAAGCCATCCCTCACTCCCACCGGTTCCAACGGTTCCGCTGGACTTGCCTCCTGACAGCAAACCCTGCCCCATGTTCCATTCTCCACATAAGGCCACCATAAGTCTGACCGTGTCACCTCTCTGCTCAGCCCTCTAGTGGGTTCTCATCGTGCCCAGAGTGAAAGCCCAAAGCCGTACCAGTGAGAACAGTGTCTCTGATTTCCCATCTCCAACACCCGCTCCCCCCTGCTCCCTCCACCCCAGCCACACAGGTCTCCTTACTATTCCACAAACACGCCACTCCTGCTCTGGGCCTTTGCTCTGTTGGCTCCCTCGGCCTGGGGGTGCCCTTGGACATGGCCTCTCAACTCCTCTCTCTTCCCTCTTGGTGCAGCTCAAATGCCACCTTATCAGAAAGTCCTTCCCTGAGGACCCTCCCCAAAGTAACACTCCAACCCTCTCTATATCTCCTCCTTGCTTCACTTTCTCACGACACTTAATGACCAGCTAAGGCCCGTGCATGTGTGTGTGCACTTGCTTGTTCGTGGTCTGTCTCCCTCCTAGAAATTAAGTTCCATGAGAGTGGGGATGTGGCCCAGTTCTGTGCTGTACTCTCCGATTCAGAGAAGATATTTATGGATTGGAGGAGTAATATCTAAACTGAGAAAAGAAATCCAAGGAATTAAAAAGTGGGGAGAAGGCCAGCTCTCAGACAAAGGATGGTGGATCCTATGATTCATAAGCTTCCCAGAATCTCTTTAGCACTTACGGCTAGGGGATTATTTACAGCCTTACACTACTACTCTAAGTGCTGTGTAATATTTTAACCTAGGTCAAAGCAAAACTCCTTGAGAGAATATGGGTCATAATTTCTACTTCTGTATATGCAGTCTGTGCCTTATACATAGTGCTAGCTCAAGGGAAGCAAGCGCCAAGATCAGTTAGCGGCATCTGCCATGGAGGCAGGAGGTGGGAGGGAAGACTTCTCTCCCCCATCTCTGCTTACCTAACGCAACAGAAAAAAACATGAAGACATAGGAGGAGTCCTGTGGCCCAGGTTCAAGTCCTGGGACCACCACTTCCTAGTCATATGAGCTTGAGCAAGTCACATAATTTCTTTGAGTCTCAGTTTTCCCATTTGTTAAAAATGATAATTATAATATTTACTTGAAAGGGTATTGTGAGGATTAAAGAGGAAACAGATAAAGTGCCAAGCACAGACCTGGCATAGAGCAGGCTCTCCATAAGTGTTAATATGATTCCCCTGCTGAACCACACGGGCTCCAGTAGTCAGCAAAACCTCCATGGGTAAAAAGAGACCCATTACGTTGCCAACAGAAGAGCCAAGTTCATGAAAAGACATGAGCAGGTGATAAGGGATATGCAGTTTTCTGGGTCAGGAGAACAGCTGATACACGAGACAGGGTATCCGATGTGTCCGGGTGAACGATCCGGAGGCCATGGCAGGCTCTGGTGTCGGTGCTTTGTCAGAGGGCGCACACTATTCTCCCTGAAACCCCCTAAGGGAGTATATTTGAAAGCCGTAAGACTTTCCTCAGTTGTTTAGGATGAGTACCCCTCGGCTTCCTCTTATTGCTGGAGACTTTCTTCACCATGTGCTGCGGAACCCCTATCTGTGAGACCCTTTGGGCCTCCCTGTTGGGCCACTTGCTTCTTGGGGCTTTCTGAAATGTTCCTTTGTTCTTATCCTTTCCTGCCTCAGTATGTTCTTACCCCACTGGCTTTCCTTCCCCTTTCATAGCAACTCGTGTGGTTACAATTACACCATATTTCCCTGCTATTTCCAGTGACCATCTCTCTGATGACAAGGCAAGGGTTAGGTGAGAGACAAGCAGGGAGGAGGCGGGAGGGGGTCACTTCTCCTGTTAACTGTAGCCTGCCACTTCGGGTGGCCAGTCTATTTTGGGAGTTTCTGGCCACCAGCATCTCACACAGACGCGCACCCCCTGAGAAGCAGCGTGTCTCCATGGGCCCAGGTCCTCACTCACCGCCCCCCACCCTCGTCCTGGCCAGCAGGAACTAAAGGGACATATTAAAACAGAAAAGCGTGACAAGGGGCTTTCTCACCAGAGCAAACATCATTTTAGCGACATCGGGCACCTGCCTTCAGTGCCCGAGTCTCCTGGGCTCAGATGCCTCGCAAAAAGCAGCTCAGTGGGAATGAATGGTTTAGGTCCCTGCCTCTGAGAAGCATCTTTGGGAGGAAGGCGGGGGAAAGAGGGTCCTGACAAATAAAACAGGAGAACTGGAAGATGGAATTCCCAGTTGTTTCCCCTGGGAGCCATTTGTTAATTTTCTATTCTCCATTTCTTCTTCTTGCCTATCACTGCCATTGACCCAGGCTCCTTACCTGTGATCTGAATTAGAGGAAACCTGAAGAGCCACTGGAAGGACAAAGGAAACCCTGGACATGCATCCACTGACCATGAATGAGCCAGGTGGGGGAGAGGCCATCAGCGAAGGCCATCAGACCTTCGCTCTTCTCAAAGCCTTTCAGAGCCCTATTGGAGCCTGAGAGCAAAGAGAAAATCAGCAATACTGATCCTGCTATTTATAATTTTGCCATTTTTTGTTGATAATGACTTTTTTTGCATTAGTTTGCACTTTCTAAAATATCGCATTAAAATGCTGTATATATTCATTACTGACCGGCACCTCCTGACATTAGCTCTTGCCTCCCCCTCATCCTAGCCTTGGCTAGATTTAGCCCAGCTGATGGTGCTGGTCCATTCACTTGGTTGATTGTTTCTTTAAGGAAAGAGAGGCTGGAGGTTATAAAAATCATCTGTAAGAATCAAAGTCCATTTTTTAAGTATGTGACTGCAATCCTACTAAAAGATTTGGAAGAAAGAATGAAATTCTCAACCACAAAAATTGACCCAAATTTTAGACACAATTCAAATCCTTTCTTTTCTAACAAAGCCAGGGTACTTCAACTTACCAGCCACCAGGTGTCTCTGTAAACTCCCTGCAGGTCCCCACACAAGGCGCTCAAGACAACGTCGTAAGTAAAATCCATGGTTTTTAACCAGTTCTAAAGAGATGGCACACACACACACCGAACAGTTTGAAATGCAACAGCTTCATATACAAAGGATTGCTGGCTAATAGCTAAATGCTTATGATAATACGATCTACTAACATTCAAACCGTAAAATAGATTATTGGAGTCAGTTTGTCCTAATCAATATACTTTCTAGAATGTCTTTGCATTATTCTCTCCTCATCCCTTAGTCAGATCAGCGTCTAACAGAGCATAATTCTGCAAGACCAAAACAGTATTTTAGGAGGGTCTCAGAGAAATCAACTCTTTCCCTGGGTTTCTAGGACTAGACCTCTCACTCCTGTAGGGCAGGGGATTTTGAAAACATCATTCAGACCATTTGCTTATGTTAAAAAAAATTAGTAAATGCATAGAGTGCTATGGTCAAAGGCCAGTAAACGGAGTGGAAGAAAAGTTGTAGCATTCTTTTAAAAGTAAGTTTATTTACTCACATTATCATCCATCCTGCCCTCCAAAGGAAATGTAAACACTCCAGCGAATAGGCTATTTCCTCTGACCTTATTTTTTTCTGAGGTCGATCTGCAAATTAGCCCATCATTCAGGAGCGGGAAAATGGCTCTTGTGGAAAACCTCTGTGGTGATGCTCCTTGAGTTTTCCAGCTTGTCAAAGACAGCATCCATTCTTCATTGTTAAATTACTACTATTAGGGGAACCTGGGTGGCTCAGTCGATTAAGCATTTGCCTTCGGCTCAGGTCATGATTGTGGGGTCCTGGGATCGAGTCCCGCATCAGGCTCCTTGCTCTGCGGAGAGTCTGCTTCTCCCTCTGCCCCTCGCCCCTGCTCGTTCTCTTTCTCTCTCTCTCTCAAGTAAATAAATAAAAAATCTTTAAAGAGAAAACAAAACTTAAATTACACTACTAACCATGGCAGGAACAATGGCTAATATTTATGGAGTGCTCACTACATGCTTGTCAGCGCGATAAGAGAAACTGACAAATATTACGTCCTTGAAATGTCATTGCTCTGGGCTTCCATGAGTCAAGCCCACCTGGTTTTCTCCTAGCTTTCTGGACAGCTCCTCCTCATCTATCCCCTTCTTCAATGTTGGATTTCTCAGATTCAGTCCCAGGCCCGCTTCTTTTGATCAGTGTAGCAGAAAATCTTAGCAGTTAAAATACAATCTCAGACTATAAGAAAAGAAGAAGAAAAAGTGGGTTCTGAGATGATAAATTAATTGCACGCACTGAAAAGGGAGTACCACCTGCAGGCTTGACCCCTCATCCTCAGGGAGATGAATTCATTATATTAGTGCTTCTTGCCTTTAAAGTGCAGTCAAATCACAGGGGTGGGTGGATGTCTTGTTAAAATGTAGGTTCTGAGTTAGCTTGTCTGAGGTGAAGCTGAGATTCTTCATCCCACATGGTGCTGATGCTGTTGGTCCCCGGACCACACTTTGAGTAGCAAGGCTCTAGATTACTCTATAATGATAATGAGGTACTGATAAAGTATGGCCAGTTAAACTGACAGACAAAAGCAGTATATAATAATGGCTGAATTGTGGGATGGCGAATAGAGATTGTGAGAACTTTAAAGAATATATGTTTC